TTTTTTTTTTAAACAGTCAACGGCTATTTTGGAAAAGTGACCGGGTCAACCGGGCATTTTCCACTATTTCCTCGTGTTGGGGCGGGTCTTGGACCGGAGCTTGGTCAGGGCCCGTTTGGGAAGGCTGTGCAGTGCGTAGAAGATGCTTAGGGTGAATATGATAATGCCCATTTGGAGTAGGACATCTGTCCCTATTGTTTGAAGGGTTGAGTTTCACGGTTTCACAAATGTTTTGCAACTTTTAGAGGAGTCAGGGATATAGTGGCCATCAAAGGGTTTGTATCTGGCCCAGCCAAATAAATTGGGCATCTTTATAACTCGAAACACTTCAATTAGAGTAGCTTAATAAATAACAAATATATATTCATAGTTAAAATATTTCAATAAGAAAAATTAATAACAAGTATAAAACTAAATTTATACTATATAAATGAAATATTTTAAATAATTTAATCAATGTGTCGACGACGTATCGTGTCAATACTTTTTTGAAAAATCGTGTGTCAACGTATCCGACACGTACTGTGTCGCACATATGTGTTTGTGTCGGTGCATCATAATTGTGCATTGTACCGGTGCTTAACACCAATTTACAGAACAATAAGGCTTAGACAAAAGCAGAGTTGAGGGCTATTATTGAAGGGTTGAAGGTTTGCCAACAACTTGGGACTTGTGTTATTGAAATTGAATGTGATTCTCTAATTATTGTTAATTGGCTAAAGAACCGTCAATGCAGAGTCTGGTATTTGTGGGATTTTTGGGAATAGCTATTAGTTTTGTTTCAGCTTTTTGAGGTTCATATAATGCATCAATACAGGGAAGGTAATCAAGTGGCAGATTTATTGGCAAAAAATTAGGTGCAAAAGGGCATACACAGAGGTTTACTCGGACATGGAGCTACCCAGAGCTGCTCGTGGACTTGTCCGTTTAGATCGACTTCGTAGTTGATTTTTTTTTCTTTTGGGTTTATTTTGGCGGGTTGTCGGTTGGTTTTGGTTTGTTTTATTTGGTCCTCTTTTGTCTATGTTTAGTTTGTTTATTGTTAAACATGGTTTAATCGTTTGTCATTTAGCAGATAAGGTTGATTTTTTGGAGGAATGTCCACTATCGATTATGTAATCACGGTATTTCTCCGGCATAAGTGAGGTTTTATTAAATAAACTGGAGATTAAAAAAATAAAAAAGGCTTAGACAGGTGGTAATAAGCACCATTTTACTATATACCATTATTCTTGTGTTCTTGTGTGGATACCTCCCTTTTTGATTTCTGTAATGAAACTTTGCATAGTTTAATTCAAACAGTAATTCAGACTCTAGTTCTTTCAGAGTTATGCAAGTACCAAAAATATCTTAATCAAGCTACAAAAAAAGCAAACATAGTATAATGGCTATTTCTCATATCTTTTTTGAATTGTAGTACAGCCATGTTTTTTGTCTGCATCAAATTTGTGTTTGCACCTTCATGCTTGATAAGCAACACTTGAAAGATAACATGGAAACTCTCTGTGAAACCTCAAGTCTTTCTTCATCCTTACTAATGGCACAACAAATCTGCTGCTGGTCATCTTTAAAAGCGCACACAGCAGAAAGCAGACTACTTCAAAGCTTCTTTATATACAAACACTGCACCAATCCTTATATGAGAAAGATCACTCCATGACTAGTTCCATATGACGATTTAGGTCCTTGAGATACGTTGTAGCAGTATAATCATCCAAGTCACACGCATCTACCATCAACGCTCTTCCTCCCAGGGATTTTTGTTTCATGTCTACTGGTTCATTCTCACCTCGCAATATCTGAACGACCTGAAGATAAGGGCATTTTCCCGCATTTAAAGTTTCTTGTCTTCTAATCGATAGAAAGGAAATACGAGACAGAGATAATGAAGGTGTACCTTCTTCATATTGGGGCGCATGTTGGGCAAATGGTGAAGGCACGTTGAAGCTGAAAACATGGCACGATTCATTTCTATCACATCGTAATTGCTTCCTAATTTAGGATCTGCCAATTCATTGACATTGTTCTTCTCCAGAAGCGGTTTTGCCTATGCACGTTGCAAAACTTCAGAGGCATGTTTGGTATGTAGCATTCAATCTTATTTCACTTAGTAAACTCTCAACAGACTAATCTACATTAACTAATTCAGACTAAACAGGGGGGAGTAGATACTGTAATAAGAATAGATGAAAGCATACCCACATCACGAGGCTTTGTCTACATGAATCAACTGCACGACGACCTGTTATGAGCTCCAATAGCAAAACCCCGAAGGCAAATACATCAATCTTCTCGTGAACTATTCCGTGCATGAAATATTCCGGAGCCATATATCTGACGCCAATTAACATACAAAGTGAAAATTATTAGCATCATAACTTTAAAATGAAAAAATGCAGCAGGCAAATGAAGTTGCTCTGCTGTTGTACCCAAAAGTGCCTTCAATGGGGGAAACCACGTGATGAGCCCATTTTTCTGGAAGCCATTTTGCTAATCCAAAATCAGATATCTGCATAATATACAAAATACAAAGAGTTTCATCCATTTCTAATTACTCGATGAACAACGAAAATTATATATGTATCCTGTTCTTTTTCTCCTAGGATAACATGGTGAAAGAACCTGGGCTTCATAATCTTCAGAGAGTAATATGTTTGAGGCCGTTATATCTCTGTGAATTATGCGCCTTTGGCAGTCATAATGAAGATACTGCAATCCTTCAGCTACCCCGACGGCCACCTTATACCTTATTTTCCATTCTAGACTCACCTCAGAACCTGTGATACAGAATTTTCACCTCATCAGTCGAAATAACATGGGCTTTATATTGTTTGACATCGTAAAGCATTTTTAGTCTAAATCCACAGTTGAACAACATGGTTGATTCCTGGTCCTTTTGCACTTAAAAGGTGTTATTGTAACCATATTCTTGGTCTGTATTCTCACAATTGATATTTCATAGTTTAGAACTATCGTAACTCATTAAGATTCCAAATTCAAGCTTGAGTTTGAATCTGTATATTTAAATGCCCTGCAATGGTATGATCCAATCTAAATATGACAATCCAATGACTAAGTTAAGAATTTGAAAGTATTAGTGAAGGATCTGGTATAAGTATACCACCATGCAGTACTGTGGCAAGGCTGCCATGTGGAGAAAATTGAAGGACAAGGTGCAAATCGTTAGCGGCACTGAAACCGATTAATCTAGCAGCATTTGGGTGATCAATATGAGCTATGATCCCAAGCTCGGACAAAAAGTCCCCGACTCTGTCCTCGTCGTTCTTCTCTTTCTTCGTTATCTTCTTCACTGCTACAATTTGACCATCAGACAAGCACCCTTTGTACACTTCTGCATGCCCTCCTTTCCCAAGCAACTTATCTATCAAGATTTAATGTAAAAGTTCAATCAGCAATGAGTAGAATAATCTGAAAGTTAATTAAAATTTTGTCTGTACAAAACATGACAACAGGGTCCATTTTAACAGCTGGCTAACACAGGAAATAAATTGAAGTGTGACTCTTGTTCTGTACTTAATATTACAAACCACATGCAAGTTAAAATTGAAGCCTAATAATTGGAAAAATAGCAATAATGATAAATTAGAATTCTTTGATACTGACTGCTTCTCAATTATTCTCGAGTTGCAGTATTTAGGGTAATTAAGGACCAGGTCTTTATAATCCCCGACTACAGAAACCTGACAGCGTTTTGAACATGACATTCCTACAGATTCATTAGACATCTGATCTTATCTTAAAAGAAGAAAGTACTCGACATAAACTCTCTAACACTGCCACTTGTACGGTTAAAATAGACCTAGCAATGAGTTAAATGGAATGACAAAAATGTAGTCCCAAATTTACTAGGAACAACATCAATCTACATTTGGACACCTTTGCAATGTATGTCCCATTGAGTCATGTATGACAAAGACAAGAAAATCCAGTGGGAAATGGAAGGTTTTAACCTAGTGGGAAATAGGTCCAGTGACTGGTTTCTGCTGTAGCTCGTAGCTCCATTTACATTTTTCTGCGATGATAGAATAGTCGAAGAAATCGTCCCACCAAAATTTTTATTATCTTTATGCATGTTCT